AAATTAGCTGGTTATTTTTAAGCACAGCAAACCCTTTTCAGTACCGCTAAGGTTTTGGTCCAAAAAGTGCTAAAGGAGAGTCTATAATGATGCAGAGGAGAAAGGATGCGAAAGAGAAAGGAAAACTGCTGATACCTGTGCCATTCCAGTATGTTCAACACTGCTCACAAAACTGTTAGATGAAATACGAAGCAAGTCCAGGGCTGTCTCACAGTTAAAGCCTTTTTGCTTTAATGCCAGGTAATAAATGATCTAAAGTATTCATTTTAATGGAATCTCATAAAAGTGAAGAGAGAACCAATAAAGCTCACCCTGTGTCTGAAATATAACTTTTATATACAATAAGACTGTCCAACTGTGCCCAAGGCATTGAGCAATACACTGTGGGGACATATAACACTTCGTAAGGTGAATTCATTACAAAGAGATTTTCCCCCTTTTAAATAATTTACCCTTGGTCCTAGTCAAGACCTGTTCATATTAAAAAACTGGGGAGAAGAAAATATTCCTTTGATTTATTCTTTGTTCTCTTGGAATGTCCAGCATTTAAAAGAATATGAACTCATGGTAAGAATCACATACATGTACGAAGAGATGTATTTCTTAAGGATGGTTGTGTAATAATATGGATTTTGAATTCAGAATGTTTGATGTCAAGTAGACCTCATTTGTGGGAGTTTTTCAAAGCTTTTTAAAATTATTTCCAAATTTTATGCAAAGCACTGTTCACGAGCAGTTAGCTAAGTTTTCTGTTAAACTGTCCCCCGCTGCCTTTAGATGATAAAAAGACAGCATCAGTTATTGATTAAACATGTAAAAATAAAACAAATCTGGAGCAAGCCACACAGGCAATTGCCTCTCCATTCCTTGTGAGTAGTATTTTTCCAATAAGTCCATTTTTAATCAGCTTTAAAAAGCCTGGAGTCAAACTTAATGAAACAGAAGGCACAGAGTTAAGCACCAAGCTTTAAAAGAATTATACCTTGAGGTAAGATGAGCTGCCTATACATTTTATAAATAAATAATGAAAAATAAACAGACAAATAAATTTAAAAAAACATGGATTACAAATGACAGAGTTTGCATGACACACTGGGCCAAAATTAAATTACAATAGTAGGCATTGATGGTTTAACCTAAAATGTGTTATTTGGGTTAGGGTTAGGATTTAAGCTTTAAGCCTCAAGTTTTTTTTTCCTTCAGCCCAATCAATAATTACTTTCAGATACTCAAAACAGAAGGTAACTAAACAGATCGAGATATTCTCAATCTCACTAACCGGTAACAGAAATGTGAAGACCTTTATGACAACATGGAGCATTGTACAATCTTACTGATAACTATCGTCCCAGGAGTAGCATCTAAAAACTCCCTTGGATTTTGCTTTGTACAATACTTGATATTCTACTTTTCGCATATTTCTCTACTATCCTTTAATTCAAAAGTGCCTGCAGCTTTTGAAAATAATAAGATTGGAACAACAACAAAAAAAATACTGCCAAAAGTACCACAAAAGTAGAGGGAGGAAAGAGAGGAATAATTGAAGTTACTTTGACGTTTCTGTAGAGCTGGTTTTGAATTATTGATAAGCATTAGCACTAAGTGTTATTAATGCTGAGACCACATGTAAGGAATTGGGGCACGGAAGAGGAATAAAAGGGTAAGACAGATGTCCTTCAATATTAATTAGCAAGTCCAATGGGTAAAATCAATTCCCAATTTTCAGCACCACTGAAGCAATGGATGTACAAATGCTTTGGAAACAAAAGTGTCTCTTGGCTTCCAAGTACTGTAATGCTGCAGCTAAGAACAAAAGCCCAGAAGAGGCACCATTTCAATGGCATTATGATGAGAAAACTTCCTCACTGGTATGTCATGATTCGAATACTAAACTTCTACCCCATCAGAGCTTTGCTAATCTGCCCCCCCCCCGTCCAAATATTATTTTGCAGCTTGCTTGAAAACTTTATGATCGTAACATTGTTGCTGATGATCATAATATGTTCATATTAACATTTCACACATAAAGCGCATGGAATTAACTGTGAAGGATCACTTTTCCCCTTGAACTAGACTTAATAGATTGGGGTTAGATCAGCTAAACAAGAAAAAAAAGCATGAGAGAAAATGGATAAGAAACTAACTTACAGATACATAGCATTGAATTAAAATTATTTGCAAGACCGCCTCCTACCAAACACCTCCCTTCGACCAGTCCGCTCCCACAGAGAGGGCCTCCTTAGAGTGCCGTCGGCCAGACAATGCCGGCTGGCGACCCCCAGGGGGAGAGCCTTCTCTGTGGCAGCTC